TTATTTCCATTGTGCATAAAAGTAGTCAAAAGTTCATTTTTTCAAATGAAACCCCCTGTATATTACTCGGTAAATTGAAAGATGGTGAAAAATGCTTCAAGATGATATATCATGTCCCTATACCTAAATCGTCAAGTTTTCTCAATACAGTCGCTTCTTCTAGAAACATTTTTTTTTTTAGAATTTGGATTTAGGTAGCAGTGGAATTATCGAGCTTATAGCAGTTTGGTTACTTTTATAAGTAATTTACAAAAAGTTATCGACGGTGTTTCGAATCATATTCCAAAATGAATACAAATATCGATTATTCAAACGAAGTTCTAATGGAATTATTTATTATACACATGAACAAAGTGATCAAATCATTGTCAGAACGTGTAAAAAACCCAACCAAATGTATCCTGAATTAACACCAATGAACGAGAGGAAGTTTGTAAGGTTACAAAATAACAAAAAGAAACAAAATAACAAAAAACGAAAAACAGCATTTTTTGTTTTCCCCGTATAACTCGATTAGCGCTAGAGTTCCCGTGAATTTTTTTCGACCATTGTATTGTTTCCGATGACAGTTACCTTTTTTGTCATTTAATCGTCTTCGTATCTGTTAGGGTTTAGAATATAGTAATGTTACCACATGATGAAAGAAACGGCCTGTATATACTTATATATCGTGGGCGTACAAGCAGAACCCTCTAAGTCCACTTTTTTCGAAAATGAAGAATGCATCACGTATAAGTCTATATTAGGGTAACGCTCCAGGCAAAGAAACATTCAAGTCCATTTTGCGTTTGTTACTGGACACACACCAATTGAAATTCAAATAGATTTTCAATTATTTTATCAACAAAGAGGATTCTTCTTGTGGCGACGAAAGGTAATACCACGCCAAATTGTTCTCTCCACAAATTTGAAAAACATTGTATGCAAACATAAGAATTGAATATAATTGTATTATAAACTGATTATTAAAAGTAAATTCAGTGAAAAGCCTACCTGTCCAGCCACTTCTTGTGAGATATCCACAAGTTCCAGCTCCGTAGAAAAATCACACCACACACATCAGCGTTGGAGGAAAATAAGGTATTTACCGATTCCATTTCACAACAATATATGCATATATTAATGAAATCATCCAAGAAAATAATAGGAAAATCACATTAAAGGCTTAATCCAAAACTCGAGTCTGCAAGAATTAAAGTGACCTTGAATAATAAACTGACATTTGCCTGAGTGCGTTCTGATATTCATTCTGAATAGTTCGGTGTAGTTTAGGAAATTTTTAGATTTAAGTAATTTTCTTTTCCGGCAATTGATATATTTTTGAATCCAACATATTTTAACTTTTATAACTAAAACTGTTCTACAAAATCAAAATATGAATGGATATGTACTTTCTGATCATTCCCATATTGATTTCAATTCAAGAGCCACCGGTAGACATATTTTGATTTTTATGGAATTATTTTCCAGCAGCTTGACTGCATTAACCTTTCTCGGTTTATATATATATAATTATGTCAACGCAGTAAACAACCTTCATATCGCACAAATATTCCATCATGGTTGATTATCTCCTAAAATAGACTTTCGAACTTTCCAAAATATTCACTAACCATCAAGAATCGATTCAGATCAGCACTATAAATACTTGACACTGCAACGCCTCAATATGCATTATTCATCTTGGTTTTTAAACTAGTGAATGTACCAAACTGTATTGTCACGAAATAAATTGTTTTAAAAAAGTTTATTTCCGAAGCAAGTTATTTAATTGGCGCTGCGAACAGGATTCCAAAACGGAGTTATACTACGGTTCGTTTCAACGATTTGTTCTGAATCATCGATCACATGTAGATCAACGTTACCCTAAGAAGATATGGTCAACTGCTGTCCACTTTCTATTGGAGCCCCAGAATTCGAGAGAGCCTTCGCTTAAGAATACTTCATCGAACTACCAGAGACGAGTTACGCCTAGGATCCAGATGAAACTACTGATTTTCCTGTAAGTCCTCTCCTTCCATTTTTGAATAAATTACAAGTGAAAAAAATTTTTTTGAATTAAACTCCATGAGTAGAAGTAGATCAAGATCACCAATAATTTTTGAGAATTCAAGATATTCCGATAATATAATGGCTGCCCATACTCAAGTAGAAATCAATATGGCAAGAGATATGTTGCCAGAATACTCACGAGGCTCACAAAACATCGCTTATTTTATAAAACAAGTAGAAACTTATATTGAATTATTACAAAGACAAGAAGAAAATTGCTTATTCAATAAATTACTCTTCGAACAAGTCAAATCTAAGTTAACCAGAGAACTAGAAGTATATTGATAACCTCTAATTGTACTAAATGGTCTGAAATTAAAGATGCTTTGTTGTGTAGATTTGGAGTTCCGCGATCGGAAGAATTTTTATCTCATCATCTGAGTACATGCTATTAAATACATTCAGAGACTTATGAGCACTATTTTGAAAAAATTAAAACAAAACTACAAGTACTATTAGAGCACATAAACATACGTACACCAAACAGAGATATATGAATTTGTAAAGAAAGAATGTACAATGAACAAGTCTTGAATACTTTCAAATCAGGAATTTTAGAACCGTACTGTTCACATCTATTGAATTTGCCTATTGATTCTATCGAATAAGCCCTTTTTGAATGTAGACGTTTTGACAATAATAAACCGCAAATAAGCTTTATGAACTTTATGAGGAATAAACCAAAAAATCCAGTTAATACAAGGAAACCCCATATAAATATTAACAACCAACCTCAAAGTCCACATTATCAAAATTTCACTCCAAGATATCATTTTCCAAATAATCAACCACGATTCCAAAATACCAATTCTAGCGCTATGAGAACGACACAAAATAATAATAATTTTCTTAGAGGTCCAATAAACTTCAACTCACGGAATCAGAATTCTTATAATAATAATCCTGGACCTGTACAGAATAGTTCTAATGACCCCACTCCCATGTCAATTACGACCAGAAGAACATTACAACCGCGTACAAATAATTTCTTTACACCAAGATTAAGACCGACTTTCAATTCAGAAGAGCTTTTCAATGCGGAATCTCATGATGAAAATTATTTGCAAAACAATGAAATTGAGAATTTTGAAGAAGACAATTTTTAAATACCTGCCTCATCAGCCCAAAATGTGACTTAAATTCTATTTGTTCAAAACCTACATTACCTTTTATAATAATACTTCAGTTGAACTTGAGAATCTTGATAGATTCCGGAGCTAGTAATTTATTCATTTATATATACACGTGCAAGCCCAATTCGGATATAAGTAGTACACTGCTATGTAGTACTTGATACAATACAGTGGATTGAAAGTAAGTTATAACAATAATACAA